GGGCGCTTGGCTGACCTTCTCAGTTTGTTACTGAGTCTGGGGCGCCACAGGGATTCTCCAGTGCCCCCGAGTCTCTGCAGCTCACTCAGTGCGGCTGACCTCCCTGGGCCCGGGGGACACGCAAATGCGAGAACGTGGCCGCCCCTTGGGGAGCTGGGCCCATCAGAGGGCGACATTGCTACTGCTATAAAACATCACCCTCCTCAAAATAACAGTGGTGGAGTGGCAAAACGGGGCGAGGGCCAGTTACCCCCCCTCTCCTGATGTTAACACACAGCCTACCTCACTATTAAGCACTGAAGTACCAACAAGCAAACCACCAAACTTTGCCCGTCACTTAGGGAAGCTACTGCATCTTCATCACAATACGCACAATTGTTAGTACTTCTAACTGCTATAAGAATTACCTGAGGACCTTGTTTAAATGCAGATTCCGATTCATAAGGTCTAGGTTGGGGCCTGAATTTCTACCAGTCTCCCAGGTGCTGCTGATGCTGCAGACCTGCAGATCACCTTCTGAGAAGTAAGGGTCTCCTTTTAAGAACCCGGCCTCTCTTTCTCCAGCCATTCTTTCTGGCTTTCAAAAGCCTAGCATCAAGATACCAGAGTCCAGCGGTGCCAAGAAAGCTAAGATCTCTCTAACACTAACCCTCAATACATTGGTGCACCCATGTGTCTCTCCAGTCCAGGGCACTGGCAACTGAGAGCTAATTCATGACTTCACAGTCCTACCAAGCAGGGGTCCCGGCTGAGGATGAGGTAGGTCAGGCACTGGTTGGGAAAGGATTGCACCCTTAGGCTTGGAGAGCGGGGAGTTCAGAGCACTGAGATTTCCCAGGATTAAATCGTTGCTGCAGGCTGTCCTTTTAAACGCAGTCTTAAAGGTTTCTTTATGGTTAAGAAAGGCATTGCAGAGGCAGGGCATCCCTGGGAAGACCAAGGCAAGGCTTCCTTCTCTACTAGAGATGAAGCTTTGTTTGTTGACAGCTTAAAAAAAAAAAATCAAGTCTGAGTTGGGAGTACTTTTTATTTCCTTTTCTTTTGTCAGAGACAGTTAATGTGACTAAGAGGTAGAAAATACCTAGAAAAAATATTCAGAGAATTGTCTCAGAAACACTGTAGGACTAACCTCTGTATTGGATCTGACAAAATCTTAATCAAAAGGCTTTTCCTTCCTCTCCCCAAACTCAAGCTTTAGTGCATTTTTAAAGGATTGGTTACTACCCTCAGGCCTCTGGGGGTTTCCCACGAGGACAGAAAGGACTAGATGGGGCCCCTCACACTCTATAGGTTTTTAAAGGGGAGAAGGTCCACTATATCGTCTCAAAACTTGATTCCCCAACTGCATGGACACCAACACTGGGGCTCAGAGAGGGGGGATGTTCAACAGTTCAAGCAAACATCCAGGTCTTTTTACAGTTAAAAACAGGTTGAAACTGGGCTGTACTTGCCTGCTGAAATGGCATCCTTAAAGCACCTACGTTGACATAGGGTGCAACCCTACAAGCTTCAAACTGACTGGCAGCCCCTATGAGGACGCCTGCAAAAAATGGAGGAACAAAACACAATAATATGAGATTAATATTTCCAGCATTGTTTTCTAGGATTCCAAATGGTACCAAGATAGAACTAATTCCTTTGGAAATAATCTGTCATCTTCCTAAACTACTACTATAATTAAAATAAATGTAATTTTCTCCCAAACTTTAGGACTCTCATTAACTGCCTTCACAGCAGATTTTTAAGTAAGGACCATGGTTATCTTTGAGAAGACTTTTCTGTATTTGTAATAACAATATCCCCCATTCTCTTTTTACTTATAATACCAAATGTTCTTTGTCTGAGAAGCATACCTTTATGGAGTTGATTTTCTTGTTTTCTACATTTAGCTCTTCGATTTTGGAACCAAACCTATAAATTGGGAGGAAAAATTAAAAAAACCTAGATGACTCAGAAATTTTTTAAAATTACAAAAGTGTGATGAAAAAGTAGTAGTGCTTTAGGCACGCATTAGGAGATGTAGCAAGCAATCTTTGAATTAATAGAACAATATCCATTTCCAAAATTAAAAATGTAAGTTAATGACAAAAATAGATAGATTTCATAGACTTTTGCAAGATAGTTTATTGATAAATTGCTATTAGTCCTGGTTTCAACTTTCCACAATCCAGAGTTCCCAAGGCCTAAAACTCTCGCTGATACCTGATACCAAAGTGATAATGGGTTTAGATGTTTGCCCAGTAAGACCTGAGACGAATGTGCTCATTAATAGCCTGTAATATTAATTAGCTTCATCTTCAAGAAAAACCAAACACCAAAGCAAATAGTGACTCTTTTTTTCCTGGGGGCTGAGGGAGGGGATAAAAGTGGGGGAAGGAGTAATTAGTGTCATAAAAGCCTCACTACAAAGAAGTTTAGAATTTCTCTGTTCCTCCGTGCAACAGAGTGTAACACAGTAGCAGAATAATTGTGCTATTATCATGATAATCTAATTTGCTTCTAAAGAAATAGCCCACGCTCACAGGGTAGCAGAGAAGAATCCAGAGGATAGCTCAAAAAAAAATTTATGTAAGTATGAAAAAATAAAGGCCAGCAATAAAATTCACTTCTTATGAGAAAAAAATTAGAATGTTCTGGGAAAGTGGGTTGGGGTATGAATCAAGTAACTCCTGGATACTATCTTCTCCCAGATATTACCTTCTTAAATAAGCCTGCCAACTTTTAGAGACAATATGATAGATTTTTTAAAATTCAAATAAAGCTTGCTTTTTTGCTCTAATACAGCATTATGTTCCAAAAATGCAGCATATTGACTGATTCCCAAATTAATATTAAAAAAAAACATGAAAGTAAAATATTGCTTCTGAGCTTTGTCTTGTTTTTAAAAGCAAGTGTCATAGTCAATGTAAATCTTCAAAAATCCCCCTGCCATTTAGTGTAATAGAAGGGTAGATTTCATGCCAGGGTGGCATCCTTTGTGTAACTCACATGGCCTGAGGCTTCTTGCCTCTTTTTTCCCCTAGTAGAGTTGGAACTGAGATACTAATGCTCATAACTGTAATAATTATCATCAAGTCTTTAAGGGGCTGCTGAGCCTCTAGAGATCTCAGTATACAGAGCAAAGCAGGAGAGGCTTAAAAAGGAAGGCTCTGCTGTTGATCCTGTGATGACCAAGGCAGCCTATTATTACTTTTCCCCTTCAACTCCACTGCTGTTTTTGTCCTGATCCTATTACAAGATGCGGGGAAGCCCCATAAGAATTGCATAGTTCGCTGCAGATGGTGGTCTCTGCGCCCAGAGACCCAGGGAGTATCTGTTACAGTGATACTTTGTAACAGCTGCAGATGTTCAGGCCTAAAACTGCTCCATGTGTTCAAACAAATAATGACCATCATTTTCTCCTATTTTACTATTTGAGCTAAATACAATCTGAAACATTTAAATTTGTTCTCCATAAACCTAGGATATGTATGCATGTATGTATATAAATTATCACCTTAAGCACCCCCAAGCCTACTTTTGCCATTACACTCACCCTTGAGACCAGTAAAAAACAAAACAAAACAAAGTACTCCAACCCTAATATCATTGGGTATGGTATTTGCTGGGGGTTGGACTTTGAAAATGTCAACATTAAAATCTGTGGGTTGTTTTAAAATCAAGTTTTTGTAGGTTCAGGTTCGCTGCCTTGGTTAAGTGAGGGAACAAAGAGTGACCAAAATGCATTTATTTCTCCACTGTTTCACACACAGTTTGAGATCGACTGCTAACGGCAGACTGTAAATTTCTGCATTTAACAGTTGCTAATTTTCTTTATAGTCTGTACATCTATAAACCTAATTGGCATATCCGTTTGGCAAACCTAGACCCCAGAGCAGACCCTCAAGGAAACCCAACTCCAGCGAACAAAATATTCGTTGTAACTTTTAAGGCATCCAGAAGATAAAACGTTTTCTGTGGTATTTTTTTTTAAGGCTTATAAAAGTAGGCCCATTAGGATTAAACCACATTAAAGGCATCATGAGGCGAGGGGGGTGTGGTTTATAGAAACTCTGGGAGCAAGCCCAGCACAGCTTTCTTCTGCTGGGAACATATGTTGGGATAGGGGAAAATAAAGAAAGGGGTGTGTGTGGGGGGGGAGAGTTAAGACTAAGATCTACTTTAGAAAATAATACCTCCATTAAAGACACCCCTTCCTTTCTCACCTCACTCCAGTCCCTGGAACCTGCGCCCTCCTGCGTGTCCCAAAAGCCGCCTCTCCAACCCCAGGCGTGCCCCTCCTCCCCCCCCTGGGCCCTGCCTCGACCTCCTCACAGCCAGGTACCTGCACTCGGGCCTCCGACAGTCCCAGCCGTTGGCTCAGTTCCTCACGCATGAAAGCGTCCGGGTAGTGGGTCTCATCGAAAAGCCTCTCGAGCTCATTGAGCTGCTCCAAGGTGAAATTGGTCCGACTCCGCCTCTGCTTGATTTTGGTCTGGCCTTCGTCATCCATCCCTTTCGCATCCTCTTTTCGATCCCTCAGCTCTGGGGACACTGGACGGGGGCACCACGAACAGGACCACACGTACGTCCACGCGTGAACACAGCAACCCACACAGGCGTGCGCGCACACAGAGAGAAAAACACAGCAAATCCCATTAACCAGATTTGTCTCCAGAAGGATGGAGGGTCCTGCCCCCTCCCAAGGTCCCGTCCAGTCCCTCACCCGGTCCGGAGGAAGAGGGTCCTGGAGACACGCAAAGATCAACTCTGGGCCGCAGCGCGCGGGCAAGAGGGCCTTCACCACCCACCCTCTCCGCGACTGTGGCCTCAGCTCAGCTCACGACCCACCCCCGCGGCTCCCTGCCCTCCCCCGCGAACATCAAACCCATTCCACTCACCCTTTCGCCCATTCACTCTCTCCCACGCACGCACAGAAATCAAAAGCGCCGCGCCCCGCCCGTGACCGAACGCAGACCGGGCAGAAGGGCGCGGCGAGGCCACGCTCTGGTCCCTCACACGCGCCATTCAGAGCGCGCTGGGCCGTTCTCAGGCCAGCTCTGCCCGCCGGTGGCTCTGTCTCTCTCAAACTTGCTGGTTTAATTTGGTAACATTTGGGCCAAAGGGTCGCAAGCAGGAGAACAAGACCCTTGTGCTGCGCGCGTTCCAGGGAGTCGCATCCCCGGGAGCTCGGTGCTGACCCAGGGCTTGGGCCAAACCCTGCGGACAGCCCACGGGCCGCCAGGCAGTCTCCATGCCCCCTCCCCCCGGACCCCAGGTGGCCCGAGCAGGCGTCCACGCCATGTTGGCAGCCTGGAGGGCCCGCCGCCCAAGCCGGGCCAGAAGGCGAGAGGCAGAAAACCAGCCTCCGGTGGCTCGCCGAACTGACCGCTGCCTCTGTTCTCTCCGCGTCTCTCCCCACTGGAAAGGCCGACTGGACCCTAACCGCTTAAACCCGCAGAGATCAACAGGTTCAAGCGGAACATTCGCGATCCTCGGTTTCTATTGGTTGCTCAAAGCCTTTTCATGCATCCACCAGCTCGGATGTTTAATAAAATATGCATTTTTCTGCCCTGGGCTTGCACACATCCGTGGCTACTTTCCTGTCCTCCCTTCTCCTCCCTTTAAACACAGGAGCTCTACAAATGCGAGCATACAGAGGCACCCAAGGGTTATGGGTATATACAGGGGCGGGCAAAAGTAGGGTTACAGTTGCAATGCAAATAAATAACACAATTAATTAATAACAATACAAAAATAAACAGTGTTTCGCGTGCTCACGACTAAACCTACTTTGCCAGCCTCTGTACATCAAGGCCCAGGGGCAGCGGTCAGGGCAGCCCTGTCAGCAAGAGGAGCTGCCCTCTGCCACCTTCATCCCCTGCGCCCGAGACGGAGACTTGGTTTTTTTAAAGCTGAGTTTGGATAGTCAAGGCTGTTTGCAGTTTTTCTCAGCCCAGGTTCCAGATCAGCATGGGAGTTCAACATCATTTCCGGAAGAGCTGGCCTGCAGAGGAATTAATACTTGCCCTGCGCTTGGAAACGAACAATCCCAGGGCTGCGCCTGCCCGGGGCGCGGACCCTAACCTCGCGGTCTGGCCGCTGGGGTGCCCGGGGCCCAGAGCCGCGGCTGCAGGAGGCTGCACCGAAGCGCCAGGCAGCTATGCCAACACGCTCCCAATTCAGGAGGACCGGGCCGGGTCTGGGGGAAGAACAGCCTCTAGGTCCCAGCCCAGCCTGCCATTCTTACTACGGCGATCTTTAGCGATGCCAGCATTTCTAGTTCTCAGAGTTCGTTTTGTGGACATGTGTCCTTCCTCCTGGAAGGAGGTCAATAACGTTATAGCAAACACCCGTAACCAAGTTAATAATAAAACATTTTCACCAGTAGTGCAATAAAATTTAAATATGAAAACACACTCTTCAGATTCTGCCAAAGGGGTGAGAAGGCTGTTCATTTTGTGTCATCCGCAATGAATACCTCTCAAACTTTTGGGACTTCAAAGAAAAAGATGTCCACGTTTCCAGTTGATTAATAGACTTAATATAGTCTTTATTTCGCCCCCAAATTTCCACTTATTGGCCTAAACAGGAACAGACCGTGTTATAAACAACTTAATTGCTTGCTTAAATATGTGATTCTACGCATGTCACATATTTTCTTAATTGGAAAAATATGGCAGCACACCAGTTACTGCAGGGACCAAGTGCCAAATTAATTTTATTGTTGAACTCCTTTGAATTGGTGCAGCACGCTCCACCATTTAGATAAAGCCGCTTCCTAACACTTTGCGGGCACCAAAGGATTGTCCCCGCACAAAACCAGGGTGCTGGCGGCGCGAAGCGGTAGCGGAACTGTGTCCGCGCTGGAAAACAAGCCAACGAGCCAACAAGAGGAGCCCAGCGCGTCTCCCAAGAGAAGCAGCAGAGGCCGGACCTCAGCTCGCCTCGGCCTCGTCCTACCTTCGTAGCTCAAAGGGAATGGCACGTTTGGCCCCCAAGATCCGGGGATCCGGGGATCCAGGGACCCCGGGTTCTCGCGGAGTTGTGGCGGTTTTAGCGGCAGCCCGGAGCCCGGGGGCGACCTGGGGGTGACATTTTCCGCCTCTCCTCTGGCCTTTCTCCCTTCTTTCCTCTCTCCCCTAGGAAAGGGGTTCCCGCAAACTCCGCGCGAGATGCGAACCGCACTCCCGCCGCCCCGCCGGGCCGCTGCCAGCCCCCGCCCGCGCCCAGCCCCGCGAACTTCACCACT